TTACTTATTATGTAATTATAATTTTAGCGAACATATTATTTGCTATCACAGCCGATATTGTTTTTAATTCACAATCCGAAAGTTCAAATTAAAACTCTTTGTGCTTAAATTTTAATTAAGAGGGTGCAACTGAAAAAACAGATACGGTATCACCGAACAACAGTTATTTTAAATCGAGATTAATTTAGTTCAGTGACATCTATCGGATTACACTGTACTTTATTAAACTGTGTGTTAAATCATCGATCAGTAAAGGCAAAAAAGGGTTGAATTTGATATGACTCATTCAATAAAGAGATATACTTTAATTATAATTGCTGCACGTAGTTTCACGTTATTATTAAAAAGTATATATTTTAAGCCTTCGTTATTTCTTTGCTTTTTAATTAAAAACCATGATTTTTGAAATTTGCTTATAAAATACATACACTTCCATACGTATATTACACGTCCACAATATAATGTGGAATATACGAAAAAGGTTTATGTGAACTTGAAATTTAAGTTGGCCTAAAAAAGTCCTACACAATAAAGATATATTATATAGCCTCTACTATTATTGCAATATGTAAAAAAAATGATTTTAATCGATTTTAATGACGGTAGATACATGTCTGCCAAGTTAAACACAGTGTTTGAATTTGGTAGATATTTTCGCTTGAATCGTCAACGGGGGTGTAACTCAGTGGTAGAGTGTCTGCTTCGCATGCTGAAAGTCCTGGGTTCAAATCCCAGCACCTCCAAAGTGTTGTATTTTTGTTTTACCTATTTTTATTTTTATTCTCTTATGTTATTTAACATTATAATAATAAATAAAAATTTCTTGCTTCTTGCTTTATATATAACATGGAAATCATTTAATGTGCTTCTATTTTTTTAGTCTACTACTACTCAACCAGGAAAATGAAAAATTGCCCACGCCAATGAATTGTTTAGCCATTGTTCAAATGTCAGGGTAAATGGAATTATAAATGAAGGATAGATAGGTGTAATGGCAGTTGCTCATTACTATTTTAAATCGGGATCGACTAAGGCTATATTACTTCATTATGGACAATAGTTTTAGACAACGTACAAACTTTAATCATTTTTTTATTTTGAGTATATGATAAACAGTTCATTACAAGGTTTACACGTAGCAATATGCATTAAACAAAATAAAACATATGTTTAACTACGACCCGACGACCCGATGTTCTCGTGACTATAGCTGCTTCCAGGTCGAAGTTAATTATAATAACCCTACCCAGTAGTTATTGTTTAACATACGATTTTTAACTTATTTATTGTTTCTACTTTACTAGAGATTTAATTAAGTAATATAACGCTCAAGTTAGTTACTTTTATACTATTGTTGGGACGCAACAAGACTATATTTTAAAAAGGTACGAACGCAGAGTTAGAAAATTAAAATGGCGGCGTTTCGTTCAGGAAATTACGCCGCGACTCAATTTCCAATTTAATCCGTTCGGAAATCTACAGACACGCCATCTGAGTTCGTTACGGAAATGTTTATCGTTTTCTTTAAATAATAACATATTTTATATACATTTGTTTATAAACCTATTGTGTATAAGCTATAAAATACAAATTTATTTTAATTAATCTTTAAGTTTGTGATATAATATTTGGACTTATTGTTCTTAAAGGTACTAATGTATCTGAAAGATAAATGTTTAAATACTGTCTATAGTTTACGCGATTAGTGCTCAATTAAATAAAATACTAACGGTTTTAAACGCATTATGTATATTAGTTAAACTTATTTAAAATTGTTTTAACTACGGCCTGACGTTTCGGTTGCTTTGCAGCAGCCGTGTCCATGACTTATATTATATCGTGTGAGCCGTTAAAGTGTTATTAATTTAGACAATTGTTTAATTAACATGAGACACATCAGTTTAATAGTTGTATGAATCTCCAAGGAACAGTTCTTTTCGTTTTTTTTTCTCGGTCCTTCCTACAAGTTTGTTCGTCTATATATTACGAATACTGCATTTATACGGTAAATAAAACTTTGAAAACTCGAATTTTTTGATTCGCGCGACAGTGCATGTTTCTCAGTGTGATTGACAGCTAATAAGAACAGATTTCCCCTGGGTTTGTCCCCTCACCATCAAGTTGACGTGCCGATACAACTATTAGTTTCATAATCTTCTTTTTTATATAGGTACAGAATGTTTCATTTCAAGCAGATAATAAATACTTATATAAAAAATAGCTTAATTTAACCGTAGTATAGACATGATTTGAATACATAAATAAATAATTATTATTATGTCCTCTCAAACAGGGTTACCTTGATAATAGAGATTATGAGTTTACTTAATACTTATATAAAAATCTTAATTACTTAGTTCCACTGTAACTTTAAAAGAATGTTACACTTACATTATTCTTTTTAAGATTAAAAGATTAAGTAGGTATATAAAGTTTGAAAACTTTAACATTTTTTACAATTTATTGCACTATATGAATTATTAAATAAAAAATCGATAAACATACTCGATAGGACTCGGTAGCTCCATTGCTAGAGCACGAGACGCTAACGATGCCGGTTCAAGTCCTGCCCGAGTCGCAATTTTTCAATTCAGATAACGTATATTTCACATGTCATATACATGTTTGTTAAGTCCTTTATCATTAGCTTACCTTTACGCGTAGGCGTGTGTTAATGACTGACTCGTTACCGATCTGTCTCCTATTCAAATTGTGATCCCTCCAGCCCTAATGACGCATGAAATACAATACTCTTGCGCAAATTGTTTAGATTGATTAGAATTCACTAGTTATAATTATTTTAGATACAAACTAACGGCATATTTGTGTAGAAGTATGTATGTAATGTGTGTTCGTTAGGTCGAGAGTTCGATCTCCGATTTGTTAATATTATGATAACACGCTTTTCGGCGAAGAAAAACCTCGTGTACAACCTGAAAGATGACCTGAATTAAACATTTAACGCTCGGGTCTATTCGAGATACATATTAGTTAAACTCATTCAGAATTTATTTTTTATTTATGAAAAATAACAACAACGTAACAGATGCCGCTAGCGTAGCAGTCGTTACTTTGACAGAAGAGACACCACGGCAGCTGCAAAGCATTCGAAATATCGTTGCGTCGTTAAAATAAGTTTTACGAATATATATCGCGTTTTAAACTTTTAAAGTGTTTTATTTAAATGTGTACTAATCACGTAAACCACAGACAGTGTCTGAATAACTTGCTGGTGACTACAATCTGTAGAATCGACTTCACGAGTCTTCTAATTGTAGTGTGTACTGTTTAGGTAAGTGAAGTTCGGTGTATTGAAGTACGTATATCCACGTATGAAGAAGCAGAGGGTGGTTAATTAGGGCGCGTTTCACAAGTGTTATTTATTACCACTGCTACAGATTTATTGCCTTTTACTTGATGGCCCTATGATCGCTCTCAAGATACGACTCAAACGTGCTGGATGTGGTATTTTAGTACTTCGTAAGGACTATATCTTTGTTGTATTATGGTATTTAATCTGTTTATTTTGCTAGGAAGTTAAATTTATTAAGTTATCTATAGTAACCAAAATTAGTTTAGAACAAAATACGTTCTATGTTATAAGCATATTGTCTTTGCCTATAATGTAAGATTGTAATAAAGAGTTTAATAATTATTTTAGCCTTATTTTTAGGTAAATTCAATAAATTCAGGAAATATTCTAGATGCGCTGGGCGGTTTTGTCAAGAAATAATGTCTTTTCATTGCTTGTCAAAAATATCGACATCTTACTCACTCAATTGTAAGCCACGTACACTTACCTACTTCAAGATAGTGTAATAAATTATACATTTTTAATATACATATGAATAAGTTATTTAACGGCTGATTGACATAATTAACGTTAAATGTTCTTGAATGCGTTATTCAAACTGCGGACTAGCAAGAACTCATTTAGACAAAAATTAATATCTATGATAGATATGTAAAAATGCAGAACAAGTCACAAATGAGCCCTCAGCAAGTTGACATTTATTTTTATGTTTTATCGATAACGAACTACCACAACACTACAATGCATGTTTAGTGAAGGTGTATGTTATTACTATATATTTTTATCGATCTTATTTTTTCCTAAGGATAATAACATAAGTTTTAGAAGATTAATGTTTAGAAATATCTAATATGCAATTTATTTTTACTTCTGTTTATTTCTATTATAACATCTACTTTTAACATATTAAGTTACATAAGAACCGTTTGTTTCTTAGTAAATCCTTGCTCTGACAGGCCATTCAGAACCCTTCTAGTTCTTCAAAGCCGCGAAATGAATCAGAACTCGTATGATTTATATATGTTCTTCTTCCACCTGTAGTCCTGTGACGTCAACAAATTGCGCACACGATTATCAGACAGTATGGAATCAATGTGCTATGAAGCATGGAAAAGCACTTTTAGTATTTCGTTTATATTTTACTATCTTTTTTTTAAATAAATTACCTCTATATTTAAGATATATAAAGACTACAGTAATATCTCATTAATTTATTAAACAAAAAGACTTAATCATTTGTGATGTTAAAACAAAAATCCTTTATCTACATAGAATTTTTATTTTGTTTATACCCTATAGTCAAGGTTTTAATATTAAAAAGGACTGTGTGTGTAACTCTTTATACAAAATTGTTATTATTTTAATCTTCACCTAAACTTTAATCAAATTTTTAATATACTTTATTATTTACGTGATATCTAAGTATTATAGATAATTTATTGATTTGTAGAATTTTCTCGATTTTACTACATACGTGTATTATGTATACGGTTATAATACACAAAATCTTTATTGTACTACGCAAGGTGTTTCGTAAAACTATATAATATGTCTGAATATATTTCCTCTTTACTACATTATGATTTTACATATTAAATTGTCAATGAACCTTAACTGTCTATCATTATGCCAAAAAGTATGTTATGATAACTTTTATAGAAGTTTATTTTGTAATTATTTTTCTATTATGAAAGTTTATGCGACGCTAGTTATATTATTCTTCTTACACCAAACCTGTAAGTCATATAACAACCCGCCTAATGTTGGTTCTGTAATATTTACTCCCAACGACTTGGAAAAATTGCAATGGACTAAAACGGAGCTTGAAGTACTAAGAGCTAGACGACACTTCCAAAACTTAATACCACCTCCACAAGAAACGTATACGCTATCCGATGAATATTTAAGTGAACTAATAGCTTATGTACAGAATTGTTTCAACACAGTTGCTTTAGAAGCTCAGAATCAACAAGAACAAGAGGTAATGAACAATGCTCTGTCAGATGTAATCGGAGGATATTTAAAAGTGTGGGTGCTACCTATAACTAAATTCGCCTACTACGGAGGAACAGTCAGCCCCGACAGCGCAACGAAGTTATTTAAAATGTACGATGATATCAAACAAAGTCTCAAAACGGACGGTCGATCTTGGCGCAGTGCAAATGACAACTTGCTCCAATCAGTGTCTATTAACATAGCATCGAAACCACACGAATGGTTCACGAGAAGCGCTCATGATACCTGTGATAATCTCTCCTACTATGAGAAGACAGATAAAGGATTAACAATACCGCTGCCTTATATAAACTGGGACCTTTATCCAAAAACGATGTTTGTTCCTTTAAAGGACCAATCGCTGATCCAATTGAATTCTCCAAATTCGTCGAGTGCTCTCGTGGATTACTACAATATAGCGACGGGTTGTATACATTCCCTTAACATGGGCAGCATCGATGATTTTGGTACACGTTTCCAAATATGGCTATCATCAGATGTCTTACCGCATTTAAAAGATGATGATCTCTACATAGCATTTGGTAGCTGTCTATCATTACTAAACAAGACGAAGAGTGTCTACAACGATGTGCTAAATGTTTGCGATAACGCCTATTTAAAGTTGCAGACCAAAGCACTGTCAGCCGGTTTTCCCATTAAATTTACAAAAAAGACCGCCTTTATCGGTTTAATACTATTTATAGAAATAATATGGTGTATACCAATTTTGTATTATCTGTTGTGTGTCAGAAGACAGGCAAAGAAGAAGCGTGACGTGGGTCAATTTTTCCAGTATTTCAAAAAAGGTGCAAAGAATTTACATGGTGTGAAATTATTTGTTAAACCGAGAGCAAGAAATTTAGAACTTGACGTAGAATTTCCAAGATACACACACGGACACAAGCATATTATGAAATCGGCATCTACAAACATGTCTCCTAATGACGTTTATGATAATGTGACACACGTTAATGAATCCACAAGGAAACTGTCCTCCAAAAAAGTCATAACTTGTAATAACATTACTTCGGGACAAAAATCTGCTATTCTAAAACTTTCTAATCACCATAGTAACAACCGTCATTCTACACCTGACAATAATTCATTGATACAACATATTGTATGTTCCTGTCCTCCAGTGGATAATAGTTTGAAACCTATTGGTTCATTTACTGATGCCTCAACTAAAACAATCACGGTCATAGAAGAAAGCGAAATTAAAAACTTGTCATACACTCATGCGACTTTATCTTTATCAAAAAGTTCATGTAATTGTGAAGTTAACAAGAAAACAGATAGCAAAACATACTCAAACACCATATCACCTTCTAGTGAGAAAATGCTTCCATGTACAACCTGTGTTAGTAATAGACTACAAAAAATTACAGGACTTAATAAAGATGTAAATAAGAAATCTTCTTCTTCTCAAAATAAAGCAAATAAACTTGTGAAATCCAAAAATTCAATGAGCACCAAATTACCTAAAGAGAACAAAGTGGGTGGTAAAATAAGTCGGCAAAGTAAAGACATTCATCATATTACTATAAGAAATCCTTTAAATACCGTGGAGGAAACTGTAAAAGACGCAAATATGATCGTAAATGATAAAGTTAACCTAACAATAGATTCGAAATCAAATAATTCTCCAACAACACACAATAAAACTAGCCTAAATGATACAAAGACAGCTTTCAAAAATAAAATGTATGATTTGCACGCAGAATCTAAAAAAATAGATAACGTTAATGTAACTTCTGAAGCAAAATTCGAATACTATTGAAACGGCTAAATCGAGGAAGTATAAAATTGAAGATATTAAAAAAATGCGTCTTGCAGCACAACTGAAAGAAAATATAACTAAAAATAAGTCTGTTCTAGCGGAAGTACCAAAAACAGCCAAAGGTATACAAAATGATCAATCTGTGATTTCACCTCGTGTTATAAAAAAGTCCACCGTTTTAATGCGCAATAAGTATTTTAAATGTGCTGCAGATAATAAGAAAGATGGTTTGCCAGCCAGCCCTAAAACTGACCTGGATAAAACATTGGTATCTCAAGAGAAGCCGAGTAAAATCCCAAGAAGGATATTTGCAGCACCAATAAATGTCGATTTGAATAAAGACCGGAGAACTTACAAAAGCATTATATCTCCCAGAACGTTCTACAAATCTAGTAAAAAAACTTTAGACGATAGTGCTATAAAGAAAATACCACGAAAAAACAGCAAATTAAACACAACATTGTAGGTTTAAATCTTAGTTTTAATTTTAGTGCAATTTGATATTGGTTTTAAAATAAATATGTTAAGTATGTACATATATTGTTTTGTGTGTAAAAGATATATGGTTTACGATTCATTACGTACAATACCAAGCAGACCGGTCGTACTGGAAGTTTATGGGGAGCTATGTCCAGAGTGACATTGAATGAATCGATATTGTTACTACTCCACTTTTGTATACGCTACAATATTAAATAAGTTTTTTTTTAATTACAACTGTAATTTAATGCCTATTAACAAATTTTGGCTAAAGCACCGCTCAAGTAGTTATTTAGAGCATTGTAAAATAAAAACTAATAATTTAACCAAATAAAACTCTCCATAGTTGCTCACCCCGCACCGCACTAATCACCCTGACAAATTTATTGCCGCGATCCGGGTGTATTACCCGGGTGGTGGATGCCCGGGTTCGGGTGAATTATTGCATATTTCGCCCGGGCCGCCCAGGTGCCGCGGAGGCCGCTAATCTGTCATTACAAAGTCCACTTAGCAAATTGCTCTCGGACTTGCGAAAAATGTTGATCGTTGCGTTGCCTTCATTATCTTTTGGGTATAATGCTCTCTTGTAATCAATAAGGGTCCTAAACTAGACGAGATGAGGCTTTATATTTTTAAATGCTTGACCTCCAACAAATCATTTCTTTTGACAGACAGCATTTCCAAAATAAAATACTCTCGGTCTTTCTTTATCATAAAATATATCTAGGTTATAAGAAAGATTTAAAAGCTATTGGCAAAAGTAATATATAAAGTAACATGTACCTACATATATATGGTATATGGTAAATTTTCACGGTTTTCGTGTACAATTTGATGATTTCTAAGAATTTCTCTTCGAATTATATTTATAGAAATATGAAATAACACTGCAACAATGTTTGCTACTTACATGGTACGAACTAGATTCAACACTTTTAACGTTTAAAAACGCAAGAATACTAGTTTATTGTTTTGTTTACGTGGAATCTTTCATGGATGCATTTGCAGCCGTCGTCGCGAAGGACTGGAAGGATGGTAGGTGTCCCTAATGTCAAACTCTCAAGGACAAACAAATTACAGTACATTCTGCTATTCGCATAAATACTCTTAATTCACTGCTATAAACAAATTAATTAACCAACTCTTAAGAGTAATCTGGTGGGGTGACCACACCGCCATAAATACTGGACAGAGGCAGAGCAATGCTGAGGGATTAAGGACAATTGTCCCGGATAATCCCCGATTGACACGGGATTTGTGGACAAATCGTCCTGTGTGCTCGCTAATTTATGGTCACCGGTTTTAATTTAGCATCTGTCTTATCCGAAAGCGTGGGGGTGGAAACATATTTTCCATACAAGAAAAGTATGTATAACATATTTTTAAGATATAATAAAATAATTGATGTATTATCATGTCACGCAATACTAGTACCTCCAGTGACTCAATGGTTGAACGCATTGTCTAAAATTGCGTTTAAAAACGTTATGTTCTAGGTTCAAAACCCGGGTAAAAGATTATATTTTCGGTCGGGCATGGCACACAAAACTGATCAACTACACGCCGTTAAAATTCGGTCATTGAAACAGACACAGAAATGATGTCTAAGTCAGGCTGTATTTTAACTAAACCGAACTTCTAACAGTTAATTTAATGTGAAGAACATGGAATACATTACCCACTGTCATTAACTTAAAAATAGATTTTAGATCGAAAAAAAATGCGACACGGGCCGGATTTAAAAAATGTCTTAGTACGGGACACATTTTTTAAGTCCTGCCCGTGTCGCTAAATTCTTATCAATTTAAAATCAATTTTTAATTTATATAGCGCCATCATGTGCAATAACATATGAAAAGTTTTCAATATTGTCAAATATTAACTTAATAATTTACGTACCCTGTACTTACATAAATAAATACATACCTTTTTTTACAAAATTACAAAACTCGCAAACTCTACAGAAAAAAGGTTTCACTTTTAAATGGAAAATGAATAAGTTTTCTCCTAATCTCTCTATAAAGTTTTTATCGTCTTTAAGCGGCGAGTACATGAATAAGCCTAAAAGATTTTCCTTACATCGCTATCTTTTACAAGAGAGGGACTTCTTAAATTAACCCGTTGACAAGAATGCTCCGAAACCGTCGCCGACTCGTAGCAGCTATATTTTAAACAATCTCTCTCCCCTATTTGCACAGAAACTTGATTTTCCTTAAAACACTTACCGCCTTATGATTCTATTCCTCTGTAACAGATAGGGTTGTCTGAAAACGTAAGACATAATGAGAATTTAGAAAAGGACACCTAGAAAGGATGACATTTTTTTCTTAAATTTCGTAATAATGTATAGATATGTGAAAAACTATTCAAAATCAAGTCATAACAGTTTCGAATAAAGAAGATTTTTTTTTATAATTTTACGATTTAACGGCTCGATTGATACTGATAGATATTGTGGAAAATTTACCGTATATTTAGAGTGTCACTTACATACAAATGAACACTTTTTTAATAGCCACAAATTTAATATTTTTGTGAGAACCAAGAGATGCTAACATTAAAAAGAATATTTATTTACTTGCCAATTAAATTATACGTTCTGTTAATAATATAGTGCTAAACAATTAAACATTAAATAACGCCATTTTTTGAGCTAGGAATCCTCTAGTATATCTTTGGAATAACCCTATTCTAAAATCTTAAGCCACAAAAGTCAAAAAGCAGTAATTATGGTAGGTGCGTTTAATTAAGGGCTGGTAACAAGGCCCTTTGGGACGTGTTCGCGATAGCAATATCTTGGGCAAGATGTGGCGTGAAAAATGGCATCCTCGCCGCAGTCTTTGATAATTAGCCGAAAATTCACTATTTTAAAGAAACAAAGATTTAAAATGTTTTAGTAAGAACACACAGTACGATGCCAGTCTTTACTCCTTAACAGTATATACCGAGTTATTTAGGAACATGAAAATATATTGTGTAATAATTTTATTATAGCAAGATTTAAAAGTAAAAATGTAAACAAAAAAAAATGAACAACTTACTAAATTATAAATAATTATAAGCACACTTGTAAATTATTATAAATATATGAATTAATTATAAGTATTTCTTTCGTAAGTGTATTAAAATGAAGACTTATCAATAAATATCATTCCAAATATCCAAAGCTAAAATAGGCATCTTGCTACGATATTACATATATGGCTGGGGTACCATCAAGTGATATCAAATAAGATATTATTTATATTCTTAAAAGTCCACAAAAGACAATAATGTTGTTGAAAAATTCTACACTAGATCTATATTGCAAACTTTCAAATAGCTACCTATTATGACAATACTACTGAATATTATAATTTTGAAATACACAATTAATGAACCTATAATAATACCTATTTTAGTCTACTCTATGGTACTCTAAAGAAATGGCGGTATATTGTGTTTGAAATCCGTGATTCGAGATATCCATCCTAACAGATCTAATCCCTACTTACCTATAACACCAAATTAATCACAGACTAAACAATCCTTTACCAACATCTTCATATATTTATTGAGCGCCAATGTCAACTAACCCGATAAACCAAGGAATCAGTCGCCATTTTATCATGACCCATCAAAATCTACGTCAATCCCTTTAAATCTTAGCAAGTTATTTGAGTAAAGGAGAGGGTGGCAGGTCAGTTTCATTAGCTAGAAACAAATTGCATACAAGGGGACTTAAACAAATTAATCACGCGGTCCAATTTTGTGGAAACAATGTGGGGTGGAATTAAATAGTGGTTGTTATTGGTTGCTAGCGCTTGACAAATTGTCACATACCAGCTTGACGGCAAGATAGTAAATGTTTCAGAAGTACCGCGTGGTAGCATATTTCTCAGTGCGCGAAATGTATCAAAGAAGGACGGCAAACCAGCGTTACATAATTTTCTGCTGGTTCTAAGCGCCTCTGGTGCAGTGGTTGCCTTTTTAATCATGTACTGTTGGTATTGGTTTGTCTATTTCGTGTAATAGGGGTTAAGGATGCCAACAAGGGTATATATATATAGGGTATAAAGCAATGGAAGACCGGGATTGGATTATTTAAAGAAGATTCACTCTTTCACACATGTTTTTTGGGTATCTTATACCGTTTTCGCAGTGTACGCATCGAAAACCCACAGAGATGAACAATTTTCCCCATTATTTCCACATGGCTATTTCTTCGCTCCTATTAGACAAAGCGCGATATTTTTAGCCTATAACCTTCCTCAATAAATGTTCTAACTCTGAAAAATATTTCAACTCGAACCCGTAGTTCCTGAGATTCAAACAAACAAACCCTTTAGCTTTAATATTAGTATAGAAGTGTAATACCATCTATACACATTCATTCTCATTACAGACATTAAACACGGTCAGTTGTCATATAAAAATAATAATTAGTGTATCCATAGCTCGAAAAACTCAACTAAACCAGAAAAAAACTTCAGTAATTGGTCTTTAATCGTGGTGTAAATGCAAATAAATATAAAATAAAGTAACGAATATATATCAATAAATTGTGTAAGGCTTTCACGGCCTCATTAGCTTCATGTCTTTCATTTATCATTGTCTTTTCGGGCTGTTCGGCCGATGTGAGCGAGAAAGGGTTCTCTTCAAGCAGTCGAAGAGTTAACATCTGATGATGCCATCCACAGGTGATGGCGAAACGTCGAGAACCTCTTCTCGCTCACATCGGCCGAACAGCCCGAAAGATAATATGCTAATATATATCACTTTTAAAACCGTAAAATTTTATCGTCTACTACACAATTCTATAAGTAATAACTAAGAAATGAGATACTGAATAGTAGATAGTCTAGAATCAAGATCTATTCTTTTATTTATATGGAGCTTCCGGTTGTCCATAGATTTATTTGAGCTTGTACAAACGAGCTACATCCGGCAAGACGCAACATTATCAGACTAATTCGTATTTCCTCTACATTTAATAGTGTTTATTAG